ATAAAGTTTAACGTCTTTGCTTTTGTATAAAGATCCAGCACAAAATCAGAAAAAAAAAGAGGGTGCGTCATTTATAGGGACAACAAGATTTTGACATGAAAAACCTCTGAAAAGGAGGAAACCATGGGGCCTAGCCAAGTTTGAATGAATCCACTAGTATCTACAGTTGATTACAAATGAGGCCCATCCTTGGGGGGGAAGGCCTTGACTTGATGTACATCATATGAAGTACATTACATGGTGGGAATACAAAAAATCATTGTTAACGTGTTCGTTTGGTTTAGCAGGACCATAGTCAACTGACGGAGGTCAGAAGGATTGTAGTCGGTGGGCGACGTAAGTCAGAAGAATCGTAGTTGGCGGGTGACGAAGGTCATAAAGATTGTTATATGGTGACAAAGATCAGAAGGACTGTAGTCTGTGGGCAACGTAAGTCGGAAGGACCGTAGTCGACGGGCGACGAAGGCCGGTAGGACTGTTGTCTGACGACTGAGGTCAGAAGGAAGGCGCTATGTAGAAATCTAGTGACGAGCGGAGGCCCAACGTAGGGTAGAAGTCCGACGTCAATAGGCGGTCGGGGAGAACTCCGACGTTAGATGGTATTCGGACAAAACTCTAGAGTCACTTGGAGATCGGGGAACTCCAGTGTTACTTGGAGGTCGGGTGGAATTCCGGCGTCACTTGAAGTTCGGGCGGAATTCCGGCATCACTTGAAAGTCGGGCGTAACTCCAGCATCACTTGGAGTTCGGGTGGAACTTCAGTGTCACTTGAAGGATGGACAGAACTCTAGCGTCACTTGGAGTTTGGGTGAAACTCTGGCATCACTTCGAGGTCGGGCAAAATTCCGGCGTTACTTGGAGGTCGGGCGAAATTCCGCATCACTTAGAGTTTGGGCAGAATTCTGGCATCACTTGAAAGTTGGGCGGAACTCCGGCGATGGTCGAGGAGTTTCTTCCCTCCTATTCTTCTCTTCTCCTCTTATTCCTTCCTTCTTGCTTCCTATTCTTCTCTTAGATGGTATTCGGGCAAAACTCTAGAGTCACTTGGAGATCGGGCGGAACTCCTGCGTTACTTGGAGGTCGGGCGGAATTTCGACGTCACTTGAAGTTCGGGCTGAATTCTGGCATCACTTGAAAATCGGGCGTAACTCCAGCATCACTTGGAGTTCGGGTGGAACTTCAGTGTCACTTGAAGGTTGGACAGAACTCTGGCGTCACTTGGAGTTTGGGAGAAACTCTGGCATCACTTCGAGGTCGGGCAAAATTCCGGCGTTACTTGGAGGTCGGGCGAAATTCCGCGTCACTTGGAGTTTGGGCAGAATTCCGGCATCACTTGAAAGTCGGGCGGAACTCCGGCGATGGTCGAGAAGTTTCATCCCTCCTATTCTTCTCTTCTCCTCTTCTTCCTTCCTTCTTGCTTCCTACTCTCCCCCCTTCTTATTCCTTCCTTCTTGCTTCCCTCCTATTCTTCTCTTCTCCTCTTCTTCCTTTCCTAAACCCTAAAATTACTAAAATGTCACTCTAAAAATTATAATAAATCAAATTTCACATGAAGGGGGCCTAAAATTAGAGAAACCTAGAAATATAATGATTTACATAGCCTTGTCAACACAATCATTTAGTGAAAAAAATCAAAGTAAAATTCTAAGAATAAGTGCATTTGAAAATTACTTAAAATGTAGAAATGAAAATACTTTATGAATCATCGATATTTTTTACAAGACTCTCTTCGAAATCATCTCTATCTTTTTATTTTAATATCTTTTTTCAACAAATTTTTAATTAAAAAAATGAATATTAATGAGAATAGCCCAACAATATCAAAAGTGGTTTGATCCTAGTCCAAAGGAGCTCAAACCAATCACTTAAAGAGTAGTTAGAAACTTCATGAAACTATTTGGAGGAATAAATGATATTCAAATATTACATATTTATATTCAAAATGAGTATCTTGATGAGAGATATTCAATGAGCCTATGATAACTTAATCATTATGTTATTAAGCATTTGAATGCTAAAAAAAATTTATAATTGAGGAAAGCAATGTGGCCTTTCCAATGAATTGTTTGACATTTTAGGCTAGAATTACTAAAAAACCACTCCAAGGAATTATAAATAGACTTCTTGTATTCACATAAAATGGATTTAAAATTAAAAAAGAGTCCAAATTAAGATCAAAAGAGTTATAGAGTCATGCACAAGCGTCAATTTTTAACCACCATAGTCGAACTGTCATCATCCGATCATTATTGTCTAACTATCACCACGTGATCATCATAGTTCGATTTTCATTACCTATTTGATAAAGTTCTAAAAAGATCAGCTTGAACCCTGACCCAGCTAAAATCTTTTGGATGGTAGGGCAAAAATACCAAAGTTTTGCAAATTAAGGCTTCATTTGTAACAGCTTTCTTACTGTTTCCTAAAACGACTATCAAGTATAATTTTTTTTATTTAAGAAATTTTTGTATTAAAAAGTTGTTTTGAAAAGCAACCACAAGCTTTCCCAAACAAAGCTCAAATATAATAATTTAGTGAAATCTTCTTTTGAATTTATGTAAAACCTTTAAATAAAAAATTTATTTTGAAAAAAAAATATATTATCAAACCACGTCATAATTGTCTTTACATACGAACTCATACATCATATTACTTACCACCTTGACTATCTTCTATTTATTAAACATTTTATACGTTGAAAAGACAAATGTTTTTATCAATAAAAATTACAAACAAATAAAAAACATTAGTAAGGAAAGGACCTATTTGTAAAACTTGAAAATTCAAAATATTAAATTACTGAATTGAAAAACTAATTGCATGATTTCGATATACCGATTAAGAATATATAGTGATGTTTTCGAATTAAATATTTTACTTTAAAAAACTTCTGTAAAATTTTTAAATAAGTAGGACTTTTCTGCAATTTGCAAGGTCAAGAAGAGAACGCAAGAAGTCATCTTTACGATTCTCCCTTCTGCTATATCGGGTTGCTTTCAAGGCGACGGAAGACTGAGCAGCTTGGACAGACTCGTAGGCGTGTGGGTTCATCATGCAATATTTCAAATGTTGAGGGTGGTAAATAAAAATACCGACGGAGTAGCCGAGAAGTGTTTGGAGCTGCTCCTAATTAATTTGCAAGGGAATGGGATATGTGCAATTAATTATCAGATTTTGTTTTGAATTTTGGCTCATAGTGTGTTGTCGAGACTTCATAATGCTAAGTTTGTTAGGATTAATATTAGATTAATGGAAGATTAGAGGCATGAAAATGATATTTATTGAATTATTGAATCATTAAAATGACACAAAATAAATCTTATTCATATAATATTTGGGAAAATGCAAAGCAAGATTGTACTGTTTCAACTAAATATTTTTTTTGTATTGTTGATAGAATTAGAATATAAAATATTATTAGCAAATATTGCATGTGGGAAATTAGAATGGGTCGTGTTTGACGATCGGACTAATCAGTTTTTTTTTTAAGCCCAAAAGGCCTCCAAGTTAATCAAGAAAAGGATACAAGACAAAACAGACAAAGGCTTCGCTAATGGTAATACAGGAGGAAAGAGAATCCTAATGAGCCGAAAAACCAAACCACATAACGAAGTGAAAATCAAAATACAAAAGAAGCATATGTAAAGATCCGAACTCAGGAGGCTACACACACCCACCCTCAAGCCAAGCAAGGGCCCTCCATTGGGAACTTTTATTTGGTTCGGTCACCTGACGTAGCTCTACGTTCGGACGCCAGTAAAATAGTGCCACGTGTTCTCACTATTTACCGCGTGACTCGACAACCCCAACCCGGAACGGAGACGGGATTGTTATGTTCACGTGTTGCTAGGTATTGCTCGGTAAGCTGGGAGGAAAACCTCCTCCGGTATGTACCATTGGTCGATTTTGCTCTGCAATAACGAGAAATATCATTCTGTGAAGAACAATACCGAGAAATACCGAGCAATACCGAGAAAATCTCGGTATTGCTGGGAGTAAAATCTCGGTATTGCTCGGTATTGGTCTTCACATAGCAATATTTTTCATTATTGCCAAGTAATACCAAGCAATACTTAGCAATATCGAGCAATACCGAGCAATACCGAGCAATACGCGAACATAGCAATCCCGGGTCAAGTCGTCAGGCCGCGCGGTATTGAGTAAGACCACGTGGCCGGCGACATGTTATTGGCGTCCGAATGTAGAGCTACGTCAGGTCGCCTGAACTAATAATTATTTCTCCATTGGATTCAGCAAACCACAAGCAACAAGCCACAACTCCCAAACCTCAAAAGGACCACCAAGGTTGCCAACAAGCTAGGCCCAAGAGGTAGCATTCCAAAACCTCGTCATCATTGCCCGGAATAAGCCACCAACCAACATAAAACCATCGGCAAAGCATATCGCAAGCAATAAAAGAGGACACCATTGACAAAGAAGAAGAGACAACAACTATTTTGAATCTAGATGGAAATTCATTTCTTCTTTGATTTATATTTGTTTCTTCTTACTTTTTTTAAGATGAAGACGATCAGACTGATTAGTCTAAATGATTAAATTTAGGTTACATCGATTTGTCTTGAATTAATTATGATGCTTTATTCATGGGCGGATCCACCCATAGCTTAGGTTGGGCAAATACCCAACCTCAAAAAAAACAAAAAAATTTAATATTTAGAGGGGAGATTTTGAAATATTTTGAATATTTTGGGCATTTTGGCCCCCCCCCCCCTTAAAAATATTATCAATCCTAGGCATCTTTGCTCATCCCCCATAATTTTTGTCAAAAATTTTTTTTGTCCTACTTTTATCAATCATAAGCATTTTTGTCCATCTCTCACAAAAAAAAAATTTTTTGTCCACCCTAAAAAAAGAAGCTGGATCCGCCCCTGCCTTTATTTGAAGCTCTCAATGGTGATTTCTATGGTCAAAATACGGATATTTTGACATAGATGTACTTAATGAGGAATATTGCATGCAATAAGCTACAATTCCTGAGCTCGTCTAATGATCACTCTAATTTCTAAGCATCAATACTAGAGTTTCATCCCTTTAATCTAAAACTCTACATTGGTAGAAATGTAGGTGAGCCTTAAAAAGAGAAAAGAAGTTACAAGCTCTTAGGCTTCATTTTGAGAGAGAGGTTATTACGTGTAGAGTCCGGATTGAAATTGTGTCAGGTTTTTGTGAGTGTGCACAGCAAACACGCATAAAAATGCAATGGTGAACAGTAACTATGCTTTTGTTGTGCACGCTCACGAAAACCGAATGGCTCTCCAGGCCGGACTCCGTACGTAATAATCTCTCACATTTAGGACGGCTTTCTTATTGATTCTTAAAACAACTTTTTAGTACAATCCATAAGAAAACTGACACAAATGAAGCCTTAGTTGTCCTGTTCAAAAAAAAATTTCCTGAACTATAAAAACACACAGCAATCCAACTTCCAGAGCGGGATACGGCATTAAGATGGATTACAAGCCTCGCAGTTATATAAAGAACTGATTACTTTGTCATGGATCAATTATCATGCTGAACTCACTATTCTCAGCAGGAAACTACTTCACAGAGCAATTTATCGATTGATTGAAAGCTTGTAATTATCTCATAGAACACCACCAAAGCTCCGAACAGTCCTGAATGTTAGATGGCCAGTTTCAGCACAATCAGAAGCTGCATATCCATACGGCATAAAGAACCGAAAGTGATAGAAAAGATGTGTTCAAACACCCGAATGTTCTTCTTTTGCAAAGCAGATGTCTTATAATATAGTTGAAGTACTCATCCAGTAGCAAATTGAATATCCTTCAAATACCAATATAACACCTACTTCAGCTTAAAAGCAGTGAAGACTTCGGTAGTTGGAGAAAAGAATGATAACTTGAGCTTATGGTGATTCAATAATTCATTGTATGACAATCTAATAAGTAATATGATTAAATCATACTAAGCAGTAGTGCAAACCCATGTATCTTACCTAGGAGAAATTATTCTGTGAGGACGCCGAACTCCATCCAGAGAGCAATCAAAATGCACCACGTCATCCCCTGCTCGGTACTCGGCTCGGTACTGCTCGGTACCCGGCTCAGTACTGCTCGGTACCGCTCGATACTCGGCTCTATACTGCTGATGTGGCGCATTCTAATTGGTCTCCGGACAGTAAACTACATTCAGCACATCCGCACAGAATAATTTCTCCTGACCCAGGAGTTTAACAACGTACAACAAGTTGCTGGGATAGAACTAATGATGATGATCATAAAAACACCTGATATATTTTTGTTATTTTATTCCCCTTGTATTTGCATATGCACTAGCAACTCCTTCCCAAATACCTGACTTGCATAAAATAGAGTAACATATCATATGCCATGCTCAAAATGAACGAATAGAAATTGAGGATTTAAAAGACCAACTTCACATAATTGGAATAAGGCTAATAATGATGGATGATGATGGTGACAAAATTGCTCCATCCAAAAACTACACAAATACCCAATCATGGATGCAAGAGATTGTTTGTGATGGTTTTTAAAATAACATAAGTAAAAATAAAAACACTTAGAAAGTACTAATTAAATATATTTAATCCAAATTTTCTAAGTCAAGAATAAAAAATAGAAATAAAAATTGAACCTTGTTGCTTTAGGAAGTAGCTTGTAGAAATTAACCATGTTATAGTGAGTTTAATAGATGATGGTTTAAATTTTCACTACATATTTCTTGTTTAATATCCACTATTTGAATAAAAAACACTTAGAAAGTACTAATTAAATATATTTAATTCAAATTTTCTAAGTCAAGAATAAAAAATAGAAACAAAAAGTGAACCTTGTTGCTTTAGGAAGTAGCTTGTAGAAATTAACCATGTCTCCGGATGGTAAATTGCGTTCGGCATCCACACAGAATAATTTCTTCTGACCCAGGAGTTTAAGAGCGTACAACAAGTTGTTGGGATAGAACTAATGATGATGATCATAAAAACACCTGAGATATTTTTGTTATTTTATTCCCCTTGTATTTGCATCTGCGCTAGCAACTCCTTCCCAAAGACTTGACTCGCATAAAATAGAGTAACATGTCATATGCCATCTCAAAATGAACGAATAGAAATTGAGGATTTAAAAGACCAACTTCACATAATTGGAATAAGGCTAATAATGATGGATGATGATGATGTTGATGATGATGATGATGATGGTGACAAATTTGCTCCATCCAAAAACTCTTCAAATACCCAACCATGGATGTTGCTAGCTTATAAGAGAACAGGAAGACGACAGTGAGTGAAAATGATGGATAAAACTCCTTTCGTTTTCCAGATAGTGAAGGCCCCTCACTGGTGAGCTAAGAAGGGAATATAAAATAGCCAGTCAAGTTTGAATGAGGTTTTACATGCAATTGTTTTTAGCCCATCAGTTAATTCTTAATTATGAAATCCAGATATTCAAACTGTTCCAAGGCCGCCTTTATTTTTCAAGTAGTCATAGTTAGGCGGTCAACGGTTGATCAGCAATGACAGCGAGGTTGGCTAGTATGGTGCAAGAGGCTTAGTGGTTGAGAATTGATGTTTAAAAAAAAATTAAAATATCTAAAAGTTGTTTGTGATGGTTTTTAAAATAACATAAGTAAAGAATAAAAAGACTTAGAAAGTACTAATTAAATATATTTAATCCAAATTTTCAATCCAAATTTTCTAAGTCAAGAATATAAAAATAGAAACAAAAAGTGAACCTTGTTGCTTTAGGAAGTAGCTTGTAGAAATTAACCATGTTATAGTGACTTTAATAGATGATGGTTTAAATTTTCACTACATATTTCACTTTTAATATCCACTATTTGAATAAGCTCAATCCTTGAGGGTTAGAGAAAAGAGTCAAAAGACTAATATCATCTAGACATTACGACTTCAACATTTGTAAGGTTTTAATAGCTATATTTGTTATGATAGTGATAAAATTTTGAGCAAAATCAAATTAAGATGAAAGACCACAATCACGAGACACAAATTTATATGGTTCAATGATTCACTTACGTCTACGGTCAGACAAAGATCAAAGATTTCACAAGGCTTTAAAAGAACATTATATCAAAGATTTCTTTTCATGCATAAAACAATAAATATAGAGATATATATCACTTTTTCTATATCAATGACTGAGAGGGGATTAAGTCATATGTTGTGAAAATGAGGGCTAAATATCAAAATGAAGTTCCTATAACAGCTATTAATCTCGATTGCAGGAGCTTCTTCCTCTCTTCTCTCCTTTTCTGCAAGAGCTTCTTCTTTTTATGGTTGTAGCTTAACCTCCACTTCCCTCTATGTTTCTTCCTCTTCTTCCTATTTGCTTGTGGTTGTGGGATTTCCTTAGCACATTAAAATCTTCTCCTTCTATAGAGCTTAGAGGTGATAAGTAGTTGGCTTAAACTTATTTAGGTATCATAATTTAGTTGCTAAGTAGAGAATGATATATTTTAAATTTAGAAGAGATAAGTAGAGAGAGGTAGGTAGAACCGTAGAAAACTTTTATGAGTAAGATAAAAGAAATTTTATGTTTATACCTTATCAATACCATCTCCTTCCAAATATTATATCAGATTTTCTCCAATTTTATAAAAGATATCTTCATTCTTGAATTTATTACATTCTGATATTACTTGTTTATTTTATATTTAAATTTTTTTTTTCCTTGAGACATGCCTTTCTCATTAGAAATTTTGTGTTTTAATCTTCAATCTTAATCACATATCTTTTAAGGGTCTGTTTAGAATAGCTGCAACTTATCATAAAAACTGTTGTGAAAAAAATATATTTTTTGAAAGCAAATGTTCTAAGTTTTTTTTATAATTCGGACTATAACTTTAAGTAACTACACAATCTAGATTTTGTTATAAAAATTTATTTTTCACCACAAATTTCTCAAATGCAACAAAAAAAAAACAAATCAAATAGGATCGTGGTGGTTGTTTGAAGAGCAAACTGTGAGAAAATTACCACCAATGAACCCTTAGTTTGATTATGGGATTTGGACTCTTTATTCTTTGTAATTGACAGTGGAATCTAAATTGACAAAACCAATATTTTAAAAAGCAAAAGTATAGGTCGGGGCATTTTACTTTCAAAAAGATAAGGCATAAGCCTTGAGCCACAATGCATGATGAAAACATGATAAAAAAAATACTAATATATGAAAAATAAAATAAAATAAATTTCATAATCGATAATCATATGATTTATGAGAAAAGGATTAAAATGATCTCTCAACTCTTTGTGAGAGATCAAAATGATTTCTAACTCTTTTGAGGGATCAATTTGATTCCTCAACTCTTTTAAAAAATATTTTTTGATCCTAACATTAAATTTTGGGGTTAATGCTATTAAATAGATGGATATTTTGATTATTTTTAATTAAATTCTTTATTAAATATAATTTTCGAGTAATAGTAATCAAGCCTTGCTCTTCAATTGGCAAATTAGATGTGGTGCAGGTTAATTTGAGTAAAAACAATTTCAAGTAGAAACTCCGCAGCATTCAAATCATTATTCTTATCTTCTACATTCACAACCTATTTTACTCATTTAAATATAAAACAAAGAATAAAGAATAACAGATGAAACTTTTAACTAAAAAAAAAAACATAAAAAAAAAGAAACCAAGTTAAAAAATAAGCAAGGAACTTGCCTGAAATTTTAGTTGTATTGCTCTTCTTTCTTTGAGAATCTAAATTACAAATCTACTAATTTGTATGAAACCAACAGAATTTACCTAATCCAAAATAGTAATGAGCACGCTCCTCAACAGATCAATATCAAACAAATTTTCCTCTTCCTCTATCCAAGATGGTTTATGCATAAACATTGGATCTTTTTTCCCAACAACCCATTCTTCAACAGGAGAAATTATTTCGTGCGGAGTCCGGACGGTACTTTTCCATACGGACTCCGCACGAAACAATTTCTCCTTCAACAGAGCCTTTCTAATGTTGAACCCATCAATTCATAAATATAAATCATGGTTGGCCTCTCCTCAAAATCAACTTGTCTTAGAACGCTCAGTGGATAAAAAAAATATATTCCTAATGCAATCAGCAAGATGTTTCTAAAATGTGGATCAACCATAATAGTGTCTCAATATTTTAAACCTTACGGCTTCTTAGCACTTTAACTTGAATAACTGTTTTAATACTCCATATACTAGATCAAATAAAGTTTTAGCAATACGATTGCTTGATTTAATACTCCATTCCTACTGACTAGGGAGTGGTGTTCTCGCCCAACTTCCACTCCTCCAAGCTAAAATATAAAAGGCATCCCAATGCTTCTCATCTTCTTTTTGTCAACAAAGGGACATGATTAAAACAATTGACAGACCCAAAAAAGTTGAAAGCAAAGCTAAATCTAAATCAACTTCACAATACTACCAATTGGAATCACAAATCGGCTCATTTCTATCAAAATCAAAGGAAAAAAAAAGAGGCGAAGAGAGAACTAACCCTGCAAAACATGATGATTGAGCATCTTGAAAACCATGGAAATCCTTCTTCCCTTTCCATCTGCTGCAAACTCCCACGAACCCTTCCTCCCCAATCTTCATGAACCTCTGGAATCTTCAGGCTCATTCCTTAGCTCCTAGAGCTCACAGGGTCTCAAATTTTGTCCCCATATGATGCAACATGGGAAGGCTCCGAGGAGATGTCCTTGAGCTCGAAGACAAGCTATCCCTGAAAGGTTCCTTCTTTGAAGAGGGGGAGAAAATACTTGTCTTGACGCTCACATACAAACAACTAATTTGGAGTAAAGTTTT